AAGGAACATTTTTCATCAAAGTTCAGAAACATTTACTGCAAAATGAAAGTATACTTAACTCACAGGTTCCATTTTTTTTCTCAAAAATCGTTTTATCTGATTTATTTTAGTTCCTTCTTTGCACCGGACAAACTGGACTTAAGTCAAATAGTTGCACTGATCAGCTTGCTTATGTAGTACTTCATAGTACTGTAAGAAACTTTCCAGTGGTGCTTGTCATTCACAGGGCCTCATGCAGTCTGTGGGATTCCTGCCCTGACTTTAGATTTATTTTATCCCATTAAAACAGTGGAATATTTAATCAATTTTTTTTTCTATCATCTCAACCTGTTTCAAAATGTCCATGTTATTATTTCTCTCTTACTGCTTCCATATTTAGTTATAAACAATGGCAACAAATGTTTAAAAGTCTCACTTTCAATTTACATTCCATGAGGTGGAAGAGTACATAATCTTGATTCTTTCACATTAAAAGGAAATAAATGGTAAAAGCAGCATGACGGGGCATTAGAGGTGGGGTTTTTCTTCACCTTTTCATTTTCCTGACCTTTACTGATTTTCCTGGTGAATGCAACTTGACAAATTGGTATTTTGTGTCAGAATCTGTGAAGAGAAGAGCTGATTTCTCTCCTTCCTCCCAAACATTCGTTCCTGTAAAAAGTTCTTTGTTATAGTTATTATTTACAACAGAATTTCAAGACCTCCGGCTGTGTAACTGTAACTTTCAAAACAGCAAATTAATCCCAAACAGGGTAACTTGGAATCACTGAGGTTCCTTGCTCAGAGTAGCTCCACTAGTTGGGCCTTCAAGAAGTCTTCAGCTTTGCAGAAGTCTCTGGGATTTTAGAGTACCCTTTGCAGGATGCCTCCAGGCAGACTTTGGAGGACTTATTGAGCTCCAGAGATCCCAGTTTTTTGAGTATCCATTTCTCCAGTTAAACACCACTCAAGGTACTTAGCAGTAGAGAGCCGGGAGCTCCGAAGACTGACCTCAGCTTTCAGGGTGGGCTTGCCCTGAAGTTGCGGATCTTGGTAATCCACCCTGGGACTTTGTACTTTCCAAAATTTCCCTTTTAAAAAAGTATTATGTACCTAACATGTCTGAGAAGCTCTACTGTGCATGCATGGATTGCACATCTGTCACAAATATAACAACCACTTGTCTGGAACATGAGTCTCAAACCAAGTCACCTGACACCCAAAGCAGTAGCATCAGCAGATATAGAATCTCCTGGCTCCAAATCCTGCCTCAGTAGCAGGGGCGCTGAGAGCCTTGAAAGCTGAGATTAGAGCCTCCCAGACTCTCATCTTCAAAGTGGTGTAAGTGCTCAAAAGCAGTGTGCCCATGGATTTTCTGCCCAGGGCTGAAGCCTTGGATTTCCCAAAGCTTGTGCAGGACACCTGACAGGGTTGTCCAGAAACAAGATAATCTGAAGTCTGCCACAAGTTTTGGATTCATTGAAAGCTCACTGAATCAGGGATGCAGCAATTGGAGTTCTACAAACTTCATCTTTTAAATGAAGTTCTGCTTCACTGAAGAGTTTCCAGTCACCCTTTCACTAACCTGCATGAGAAGCAGATATCGAGGCTGGAATTCATCTGATGAAATGCAGACATTTGTAGTGCAGAGTCCATGTCTGAATTGATTTTCTCTCTCCATTGACTATAAGGGCAATCTAAGGTGACTGGATCAGATGGAGCTGTTTGCATGGCAAACAACTAAAAATAAGTAAGAGAAATCTCATCCCTAGCCACATTGCTCCATGACCTATCTAATGAATTTGCTATGTGTCAGCTGCTGAAGAGAAAAGAACATGTAGGACTTAAGGGAAAAAACTTCTCTCTTCACCGCAGTCAGTGAAACAGTTTCAGCCCAGCTTTAGGCTCTCCGGAGTACTATAAGATCTCAGTAATTGTGTTTATCTGCAAAGTGTGCACTTAGATGGTTTGACTGGCAAGAGAGACTAGAGTATCACATCTCGTCTATGGCCAACAAAAATCTAGGATTTCCAGGTTTCCATAATTGGCTGATTAAAAAGAAATTCTACAACAAAATGAACCTAAAAATTGCCTTGAAACCAGAAAAAAACATTTAGAATCACCAACATTAAAATGTCAAAGTATATCCCTGAGAACTTTAAGCTGCCAGATGATTTTGGCATTACTGATAGTTTGGATTAGTTGTTTCTCATTTATGATTATCAGTTTTACAACAGCCATATACTGTCTTCCACAATAATTCTATAATAGGTCAGTATTTCCCTGTTAAGGTCAACTTTTGCTATTATACTTTCATTTTCTGAAGCCCAGGAAGTGCTGGGAAGAACAGTCCGGCTTTTCACTTGCAAAGCAGATCAAATGCAGAAGTGTTAGTCAGTATGTCTTTTTTAGTCTACACATAATTCTATTATATTTTAGCCAGTGCTGTCAAAGCATATGATGCTGAGCAATGCTCTTACGGAGAACAGCCCTGCTGTGTTTGTGTCAGTTCCCGTCTTTGGCTGTTTGTGAATCATGGGTATATCTCAGCAGAAGAGTTTCCTGAAGTTATTGCTTTCCCTTAATTATCTGTCTTATTAATGACCCCACTCTATTTCTGCTCTGTTTTTAATGCACATTTTTAATGGAACGTTCAGCTGTGATGAATGAGAAAAAGTTTATTTAGTGTAATGTGTGTATGGATCTCTGCAAAGTCTTATTTGGGAATTTTGCTATCAGTGCAACTCTCTGCTTTCTGAGTTTGAGTTGTCTTCAAGTGTCAAGATCCTGGGGCTAAATCTATAATATTAAATAAAACAGGATAAGGAACTGTCCTCTAACACGGAGGCTTAAGGACCATAATCTACATTATACGGTCTTTGGCCCTAGGCCTCCTCTGAGCCACACGTCAGGGTCCTGTGGTGTAATGGTTATTTTTATGTGCCATTCTGTGGTTTAAGCAGAGGTAATTCAGGGTAGTGCCTGAAATGTGAGGGATATATTGCAGCCCACAAACTGGGTGTTTTTATGATCTGGCACTGAAGACGCATGTCTACAGTGTAGCAGAACAGCAAGCAGGGATATTTGCAGGTCCATGGCCTGCTCGTTGAAGAATGGAGAGGACTGTGGAGGGATGGGGGAGTCAGATCTGCTCTAGTCTGTCCATACTGTGTGTTGGGAATGATCAGCTCTTTGAAGAGTAGATGATTAATTCCTTGCATGCAAGGCTAAAACTACCAGGTGTTTAGAAGCCTGCCACTTGGCCCTGCAAAGGGATGAACCCTTCGTGATAGCACTCAGGCAGTTTAACAATAACAGCGAATACCGTGTTAGTGGATATTGACTCCTCCCGTGCAACGATATTCTACTATTTCCCAGCTTTGAATTATCACACTTGATCGCAGCTTGAAAATAAATATTAGTCTCTAAAAAAAGTGCTGTATTTTGTAGATCATTTTTATCTGATCATCTAAACGTAGAGCTGCAAGCAGCCTAAGATGATGTGAACACCAGAATGGGCTTGTCCTACTTTCTGCTCCATGTGTTCCCACCATGCTGCTTTTTCAAAATGTGTTTCTCCAGCTTTACAGGCAGCTGAAATTGCATATTGATGTGGCTGAAAATGAACCCTACTAAAATAAAATATGCTGGAGCTGCTGGATGATTTAGGTACTCCGGAGGCTCATGATTACTGATTCTAACACATAGGAGCAAGGTGGAAATGTGGCTGAGATCTGCAAGGGCAAGGTAGTGAGGAAAGGAACCTTTTGAAAGCAACCAGCACTCAAGCCAAAACACAGCAAAATGAAACTGCATTCCTCTTAGCTTCCTTTCCCAACCCCTCCCCAAAACACTACCTGGCACAAATGAAAATACGCTGGAAATTTCATCCCAGGTATCTCATGTCTGAGATACCACACAAGTTTTCCATGCAGTCACTTAGAAGATGATTAAGTGAAAATGTTAGGGTTTAAAGCTAAGCCCTGAACAGAGCGATGCAGGATTCTGTATGCCCTTACATGAAATCTGTTAAATATTTTCTAAAGCAATATGTGATAACTAGGTGATGAAAAGCCGTGTTGAATTGTATCTCAGCATCCATATATGAGGAGTGGTCTCTTTTGCCATAAATGTTGCATCTTTATTGAGTACAAAGAAAGAAATTCCTTTAAAAAAAGAATTATGAAAAATGTGAAAGTGCCATTGGTATTGTTGACTAAAAAATTCTGTAGATATTCATCCACAAGCTAGATCTAAATATTCCATTGTTGTTTGTATGTTTTAACGTTACGTGTTTTACAGTAATCTGGCACATCCTGTTCAGAGAGGTTTTGATGTTTGTAACATTAAAGAGTCCCAGGACTCAGGACTCAGGAGCTGTTAAACTGAGCTCATGTCAGACAACTTGCAGTATTTCCCATTGGGGCTGAATATTTCTGTACCACTTTGTGTCCGCAGCAATGTGTGCTCTGCACACCTGAAAACAGTCTCCACTCCTTCAGTTCCCAAAGGAAAGAACCAACTAAAAATATTTTGCTGAAGACACTGCTCTTTCCTGTGAAAAGGGAGACTTTAGTTCAGCATTGACAGCAACAATAGAAATTCTCTTCCTGGTAGTGTTAGTTCCAGTTGAAACAAATTGATGAGTTGGCTTGGTTCCTGCAGTCGTGAAGATTCCAGTTTGAATTACATTGCAGCAGAAATCCAAGGACAGAGTTGGCAGTGGTGAATGGTTTTGAGACCCTTTTTATACTTATTAGGATTTGAAAGAAAAATAGATTGAAGGAAGCCAAAGAAATTGCCCCTGTACATGCAGAAGATTTTTTGTCTTGACTGACAAGTTAGTTTTGAAAATATTAATTGGAAAATAAATTTTCTGCTAAGTGCAATTTAGACCATACATTCATCTTCCCTTTACAGTTAATGTAAGGAGACTCAATCCATTGTGAGATAAGTGTCTAGGATAGTTATAGCCTTTTTTGGTTAATATTCATGCTTAATGAATTATGTTCTATTTGCAGGTTTTATCTGGGGTGAAATTAAACAGATGTGGGATGGTGGACTACAGGACTACATTCACGACTGGTGGAACCTCATGGATTTTGTAATGAACTCCTTATACTTAGCAACAATCTCTTTGAAAATTGTTGCATTTTCAAAGGTAATTTTTTTTCGGATAAGTATTGAAGATAACTGAGACCATGCTTCTTTGAATTTTCTTCTATATTTGATGGTTTCTTAGGCTCAACAGTACAGATATACACATATATGATGTGGTTATTGAATCTTCTGCATATACAGTGAGAAGCTAGACCAGAATACAAGTAAGCTAAGGACTAGGGTTATATCTTTTTCTTTCTAGGTCCAGGCAATCTTTTGTTATCTGATCCCGAATAATCACCATATTGCCATGTTTTTGCTAATATTTAGTGTGGGCATTTGCAGAAAATTATGGTTTTGGTTGGTCTTATTACCTCTAAGATAATTTAACCTACCATGCGTAAGTTCATGGATATGTTCATTTTCTCACCATTTTAATGGACTTTTTATGAGTAGTGTTATATTACCACTGTTCAAAATTCCTTCTATAAAACGGCCCTTCTTTCCAAAGCCACGGAACACATTGCATTTTGTATGTATTCAACACGAATCCGTGATATCACAAAAATCCCTTGTAAAAATGAAATATTTGTGTCACAAAGTGGTCCCAAATGTAAGGAAAGCACTTCTGAAAGGAAATGAAAGCATTTCTTAGCATCTACCACAGAGGTCTTATCCACATAAAAATAACAAGCCCAGTTTTACTGGCCATTATCATCAGCGTTATATTTCAGCTGTTTCAAGATCACTGCCACCAGCTACACCACATGCATGGAATGAGACTCTTCTCTGCCAAGATCCTTTTGGCTTGGAAGAGAAGAGGAGGCAGCCGTCAAGTAGCTGGTTACAGCTCCCTGTTCTCAAAGTACAGCTGCTCTGGCTGCAGCATAAGCTTACAGCAACATAGGAGCCTCTCTAATTTATCCCACCATTTGGTGACTATCCTTAAGGGTCTGCATGCCCACTCTCTGACAGCATACCTGTGGAAACCTTCCCAGCAAAAGAAATTTTGCTGCTTGCCTGAAAGAGCAAGGGGCTCCAAAGTGTGGGGAGATCTGCTGTTTAAAGCTGATGAAACACCTTTTTACGCTTACCGTACAGTGACTGAAGAATAAATAGTAATGTAGACACATAATGAAACAGTTGAAAATGCATTCTTCCAAAGCATTACAGATGGCTAATTATTCACTTTAGAACAATATTAATTAGAAGGCATTATAATCCTTTCATCTCCCAGTCAGCTTTTGCTTACAGTAATCATATTCCAAGGTATCTGGAATATTCCAAGGTATCTGGAGTATACATGCCTCCATTACTCTCCAAATTAGTGCTTGCATGACAATCATAACACAGTTCATAAAGCACTGTCTTTGGTTTTGTAGCTATTATTTTTTTATTGCATGTGCAATGGTGCATTCAAATACCTTTTTCCTCTTCTTTAAAATAGCCTCAATTCTGTTAAACAATTGAAACATAGTATATAAAAAAAGATGTATTGAAGAGAGTAATGCAAGCATAACTTATTATCCAGGCATATTTATTTCAAATATCTACAACAGAGCTCCGCATGTGTACGCCAGATGAGGTTGAGAGGGTTCCAAATGTAAACAGTACCTTTGGATACATAGCTTTTATCTTCATTTGTTAAACCTTGCACAACAGGTTTTTCTAAAATATAAGTTTTCTTTACTTACTGAATCAAACTTATAAGCCCAAGCCTTACATGTATGCTGCCTGATGTGAATCAGTGCAGCAGCTAACACCACCACCCAAGAAACTATTTTAACCAACTCCCTTGAATAAAAAGATGAGAGTCCCTTCATACTATCCACCTGTGTGATAGATATCCCTAGGGTAAAAACTGATTTTTGCTCATTGAAAGCTCTCTGATGGACAGCAGTTGAGTAGACAGGTATTACTTACAGTAGCTGGTGGACCAATATAAATTACACTGAAGAGGGTAGTTTCAGGATGAGGGAACTAAAAAGATAACTTAGTTATCTGCTTCAGTCCCAGTATTCAAGTAAGATGCGTACATCTCATGTATGTCAAAGGGCTACACTTTTTATCTCTGATTTTATGTCAACATGCAGAGCCTTTTTAAATTATCTATCTGGTGTATCCGCTGGAAATGCTCTCTCCATGATAAATAACATATGATTATAAACAGCACACTGTCACGTGTTTTATATGAGTACAAGATAACTGATTTTAAGCAACATATCTGTTTTGGTTGAGGATTATAAATATAAATAATTGTGCCCTAAAATAAATATCCCTTTTTATTTTTTTGAAGAACGATATATTTTATACTGATGTGTCAAGTTAGATGAAATGTCAATTTACATGCAGACCCTGCTGGCTTTGTTTATTTGTTAATAAAACAGTCCTGAGCATAGGACCCAGTGCTGTTTGTTTCCAGCTCTGTTAGAGATTACATTCAAGTTCACCTTACTAACTATGTGAGTCTCAGCCGTTGACATGAAATGCTGTCTCATTCCATCATGTATTATGGAAACAGGTTCCTACTCAAGGCAGGAACTCTGAAAAGTAACTAAAAATATCTCGTCTGGCTCCACAGTTATTGTTTTAACGACAATAAATGTCGGATTTGCTCTGCCTAGTAGTAAATAGGATGAAATTTCTCTTCTGCCACCAGGTCTGCAGAAGCTGACATCTTCTCATCTCTTTGCAGTGTAAAATGATTTTGACTGTTATTTTACCAGTTTCACAGATCCAATGTTCATTTACATATGAGGACTAACCCTCATAAGAAAAATTCTAGTCTCCATTCCTCAGTGTAACCACTGTTTAAAGGTCTTTGCTACCCCTACTCCTGCCCCAACTGCCTTTCCTACTGCTGCTTTGAAATGCAGCATAATGAAAAGATTGGGACATACATTTTAAGACAGCAAGAGTTCACATTCACATATGACCTTTCAGAAAAGGATTTAAAGGTATCTTCCTGAAGAGGATAAAATTATTTAACCTTTTTGCTTTATCACAAACAAGAGGC